AATGTTAACTAGTTACTCTTTACTGTCTTTATCAATTTTAATTGAAATGATCATGATGCCAATTTCCAAGATGGCATTCATCTTGGCGGAGAAAAGGGTTATTTTTGTAAGATTATATTATTATTATTATTATTTTTATTATTATTATTATTATTATTATTATTATTACTATTATTACTATTGTACAAAATACAATCTCATCAAAGCAATCACATATAGAATATATATAAATATTGTTATTTTAATAGTAGTATTATGCTTATTTATTATTGTTGAAATCAATTATAATAATATGTATATATTACTGTATTGTATTTCTGTTATTTCAAAATTATATTTTAATATTAGAATGAGTTACATTGTTAGTACTGTTATATAATAATATTATTTATAATATTTTTATTCCCACTATTGATATCATTACAGTATTATCATCATCCGTCATCATCATCCTATTCGTCATCGTCATCATCAATCTCATTGTTGTCTAATCATTATAATCATCCTTACTATTATCGATCGTTGTAATCATCACCATCATCATCACATCATACTCATCCATCGTCATCGTCCTCATCTTCATCACGTCCTTATAAATCATCTATCGTCGTTATCATCATCGTCATAATCTTCATCCTCCTCATTCTTCATCATTTTCTTCATCATCATCCTCATCATCATATTCATCCTCATCCATCATCCTCATCATCATCAATGGCATAGCCAGCTATTGGCACAGTTGGGACAGTCCCACACCGTTTTTCCAATGGGTCCACAAAAAATGGTCCACATTTTAAAAAAGGGTCCAAATTATGTAATTTTATGCATAAAATGGATCCAGATACCTTATATTTAGTTAAATATGGGTAAAATTTAAGAAAATGGGTCCAGATATTTCATATTTTTGCGTAAAATGGGTCCACATTGTTTGAATTTACACGTAAAGTGGGTCCGCTCTGATATTGTCCCCCACCGTTTGAAAATCCTGGCCATGGCATTGATCCTCATCCATCATCATCACCATCCTCACCAATCATTGTTAACATCATCACCATCACCTTCATCCTATTAATCACCCTCATCCATCATCATCCTTATTCTCATCATCATCATCAACCTCATCCTTATCCTACTTATCATCATCACTCATTCATTATCATAGTCCTCATTATCATCATCACTGTCATTATCATCCTCATCATCATCCTCATTACAATCATCATCATCCATCATCATCCTTGTCCTCATCATCAACCACATCATCATCATCCTTATTAATCATCATTATCAATCATCATCCTCATCATGAGGATGATAATGAAGAGGATGAGGACGACAAGAATGAAGATGAGGATGAGGGGCAGATGGGATATTTCTCATCATTCGTCATCATTAACCTCATCAACATCATTCTCATCAATCATCCTCATCATTATCACGAATAACAGTACTAACGCTAATATTAATGTATAAAATGTAAAAAAAAATAATATAAACTATAAATTTTTAAACGCATAAGAATAATGATATACTATATTAATAATATTATAGAGTAACAACATAATAGTATACTAATGATGATGAAGAAAAATGTAGTGTAGAAAGATTAAATTTAAATAGGTAAACATTTCCTTTAATTTTGATTGTCGTAGTCTTGGAATTCGGTGTGTTGACGTCATCATTCCAAATTTGCTTGGGAGGTGGGAATTCCCGTCTGACAGGCCTAGACTCCCATCGTCCGATGCCTCGACAAGGTTGGCACACCACAAATAATGATTTGCTTATCCATATAACATTATTTTGATTGCCAATCCCTATTATTTTGGCTTAAAAGCAAAATTTTGGGCCATACAAAGCTAAAAAGAAACTCTCCCATAAGCCCAGAGGAGGTTATTCCGGGACTCTGACCGAGGGTCTAGTCGGCCCTGTGTTTGGACCCACTCTATCAGACCCCCTGGGGCCACCACTGAACGACTATAATGGGTAAAACAATGTTTTTTTTATTCCTGTACGTATAATATTGCATTGGGATTATATTGAACTTTGATAACATTTTTACATTAAAAAGTTTTTACCACCTTAATGGACGCCATCTTGGAATTTATCATGATGACGTCATCATTCCGATCAAATTTTTAAATGAGAGTGATGACTAACTATTTAGCCAAGTTGTAGTTACATTTCATATCCAGAATATATGTAAAAGTGACCAAAAGCACAAATTTATTTCCCCTACCCCCATCTTAAATAGTTTAAAATAGGGTATTTTAGGTCAAAATTTCAAAGTGTTGTAAAAAAAATTGCCCAAGCCCTAGGATTTTTTTCTGAGACACTATAGGGTATGCTGATTCAGAAAAACCAAAAATTAATTTTCCTTTACTTTTTTCCCGCTAAAGTTCATTTCAGCAGTTTTACAACCAGACTACTCCTGAATTCTGCAATATGAGATTTTCGGCCCGGGTCGATTCAGTCGAGACGGCCCTAGTAGAGTTTCATATGTTTCGTACGGAAGAAAAATCGCACCCCCACATCATGTTCTACCACCATGCCAAAGGGCAAATTTGTATCCGCTACTGTAACATTGTTTGACCTTGGCACCGGACGACAGAAAATTGGGGTTTTAGATATAAAAGATTGACGAAAAGTCTCCCTACTTTTAAAAGTGGGGGACGTGTATCTCCTGTCCCCCATGCTGCTAACGCCTGTGAGTCAATAGAAGTGAGAGCATACCCTGTAATGCTTATTGAAAAGGGTTTCTGAGAGGCGTTATATTTGGGGGAGGCGTCATTCAATGGAGCGATTATTTGTCAATGTAAAATGGATAAATATACTAAAATAAACCCCGCTAATTTTACTGTAAATGTATAACTACAACACATAATTATACTATCAAAATGTGTTATTTCGTGATCAAAAAGACTTATGATCCCGACTTGGTTAAATAAATGTAATTTTACTGGAGTTCTTATACACATCTAGATGTGTATAAGAGACAGGGCTTGACTTGTCCCTGCCACCCGCTGGCGCCGCCACTGCTGCTTTTTACAACCATTTAAGGGGGAAGGGGCGTGTATTCGAGAAAAAAAATAACACTTCAGGGTGTTTACATGAGGAGTTTAGTGGCTCTAAAGTGGTGTTTATTCGAATAAAAACGGTAGTTTGTATTTTAACTTTATAGCCACAGTCTTCTGACTGTAGGCTGGTTGATAGATATTATTTTTATCTGTGAAGATGGCTGGTAAGAAAGAAAATAAGGGCTTTTTGCATTTTAATTTAGACTGCACTCGAGAAAAACGGAAATTTTTTTAATCGTTTTTCGAAGTAATTATATTGCGTTTGTTCCTACAAGACGAAAACATTTTAATCGTTTTCCGAAAAAAATTATATTGCGTTTGTTTCTACATTTGTATTTTAATCGTATTACGAAAGAATTGTAGGCCTACTGCGTTGTTTTCTACATATGTTGTCTCTCATTTCATTTTACACAGAAAGTGTATGGTTTTTCCTTTAACATGTATGATTCTCGTTGGCAACAAGTGTGCTTGATGGGCCACTCGTTCATTCGCCGGACACCGGCTGGGCGACTTTGTGGAGAGCCTACGTTTGGACGCTTCGTTTGGGCCTAGGCCTATTTCCATTATAGTCCTACAGGCAATCATCTCATAAAATGATAGATACAATAATCTTGTATCTCTAAAATTATAGGATAGCCTAACTTGATTCTAATGCTAGGTTACTGAAAGTACAAATCATACATACACAATAGTAATGCAGACTGAAGGATGAACTTGTTGGTAGCCATACCGTACGCAATTTTACAAATGGATGATTACAATCGATGTCACAAACTAGATCTATTAATAACATCATGGAAACACAACAATGAATTATATTTACACCACGCTAATCAATGTATTACAGTACTTGCATAATAATACAGTTCACAGTTTAATGGGCAACTGAACAGTTCAAACACAGGAATTCTATAAAGCGCGTTTCTCAATGCACATAGGCTTAGGCTTACATGAATTATAAATAATGTATATATATAGGCCTATATATATCATTTAAATATATTAGGAATCAGTGAGTGCAGATGGACTGGCAGTGGTAAAGTGAGGTTAGTGACGGGGGAACATGTATATATTACTCAGGCAAGGAGGATGGAGTACACCAAAGCGGAGTGGCAGTAATGGAATGCAATCCGGTTATCGAGAGAATAGTAGGCCCTAATGGTCAGGTTATTCTCAAATATACCGAAAGCTTACCTCAATTCACATATATGCACCTACAAATATAGCTAATTTAGAAGAGAAGGAAGATTTCTATATGAACAACTTCAGACAACAGTTGACAAGGTCCCTTAGCATTCGTTGATTGCGATCGGGAGCAGTTTTGGATTACCACCGATTACATCGCAACCGATCGGAAGAGAGTGTAGTCTGAATAGGGTATAAGCATGATTTGCTAATTATAACAGGATATATGAATGCTACAGTTGGGAGCAGAAATGCAGATTGTGAACGTGTAATGGGGAAGCATGGAGTAGGCGTAAGAAATGATAATGGAGAAAGACTGGTTGAATTTTGTAGTCTAAACGACATAGTAATTTGTGGCACAGGAACATGTACATAAAACAACATGGACATCACCTGATCATAAAACAGCGAACCAAATTGATCACATCCTGGTAAATCGGAAATACAGGTCCTCTGTGATGGACACAAAAGCCATGAGAGGGGCGGATGTAGGAAGTGACCTTTTTTTAGTCGTTGCAAAAATGAGAGCGAAATTGAAAGCAAACAAGAAGATAGTAAGAACCCAAAGGTTTGATGTATGGAAGTCAGAAAAGCCTGATATCAAAGCTTCATTTACAAGAGTGCTAAGAAATAGAGTTCCAGTGACAGAGGGGCTTCACTATTTTAGGAGTTTGACGAGAACAAGAGAAGAAATGACAGATACAGAATCAATAGAGAAGAGAGACATTAACAAGGAATGGAATGAGTTTGAGGAGGTATATAAAGAAACTGCGAAGGAGGTTCTAGGGTTCAGAAAGGATGGGTACAAGCCATGAATAAATGAAAAGTCTTGGAAATTAATTGAGGAAAGAAAGGAGATAAGAAAGGACATAGCAGCAAAATCAGAACGTAAAAGTCAAAGTACAAGATCAATTAGAAGTTAAAGGATAAACAAGTAAAATACAGTATCAGGGAGGACAAGGGGACATGGGTTGATGAATTAGCAGATGAAGCAGAAGAGGCAGCAGGCAATGGAGAAATGAAAACTTTATATAATATAACCAAAACCATATGCAATGACAGACCCAAAAGAGCAAGTGTAGTGAAGGATAAAAATGGTAATAAGCTTAGCAGCGATGAGGATGAAAATCAAAGGTAGAGAGAATACTTCGACGAAATGTCAAACAGAGAAGCGCTGGTGGAAGCAGTACAGATTGAGCAAACGGAAATAAGAATACTAGACATCGATACAGGGCCAATCGCATACACCGAAAAAATAAGAGCATCACTGGTGAAAACCAAAAATGGTAAAGCAGGGGGCATTGACAACCTAACAGCAGAGCTACTAAAAGTGGACAAAGACACAACAGTCAAGAAACTCAAAGAGCTATTCGATGATGATGGAGCAGGAATCTATTCCAAACAGATGGAGAAAAGGGCTAATCATAAGAATACCACAGAAAGGAGACTTATCAGTATGTAGTAATTGGAGAGGAATAACCTTGCTGCCAATAGCAGGCAAAATATTTGGAAAAATTATTATTAATAGAATAAAAGAACAGTTTGACAAAGAGCTTAGAAATGAGCAAGCAGGCTTCAGAGAAGGGAGGAACACAGTAGAGCAAATATTCACACTTAGAAACATAATCGAACAGTCTGTAGAATGACAGTCAACATTGTATCTCAACTTAATAGACTTTGAAAAGGCCTTCGACTCAGTACACCAAGATAGCCTATGGAAAATAATGAAAGCATATGGCATACCCAATAGAATAATTAGGATCATAAAAGAAATATATGGAAAACAATGAATGCGCAGTTGATTGCGAAGGAGTAGAGCGTGGATGGTTCAAAGTCAAGACTGGTGTAAAGCAGGGATGCCCAATGTCCGGATTTTCATTGACTGGATAATGAAAATACCACAGCAGGAGGAAATACAGGAATCAGGTAGTTGGAAGTTTACATCAAAGTTGGATAATCTAGACTTCACAGATGATATCGCACTAATATCAGCTAGCTATAGACAGATGAAAGAGAAAACTGAGAGGCTAGTGCAGGAAGCAAAGAAAACAGGATTAAAAGTAAATGAGAAGAAATCAAAGTTACTTAAGATAAACAGCAACAACGATAGAAAAATCAAGATAGGAGGAAACGAGATAGAGGAAGTAAACGAATTTACATATTTGGGAGCAGTTGTGAGTAAGGAATGAGGTGGTGGAAAAGATAATGCAGAACAGAATTCACAAAGCCAGGGTAGCATTTAACAAAATGAGCAAGGTCTGGAAATCTACACACTATGGAAGGAAAACCAAAATCAGGCTCTTTAAAACCGTAGTTAGACCCGTGTTATTGTGCGGATGTATAACATGGAATATTAACAAATCAGATGAACAGAAGTTAAATACATTTCAGATTAAATGCCTACGGAGAATACTAAAGATTCGATGGCCCAACAAGGTAAGCAACATAGAACTTCATGGGATTATGGATTGCAATAAAATTAGCATTGAGGTCAGCAGGAGGATGTGGCAGTGGATTGGACATGTGCTGAGGAGACCAGATTTGTTGGTGGTGTGGTGGCGAGTGGACGTGTTTTTTTAATCTCTCAGAATTGCTCTATTTTAACCACTTACTTTACGATTTTGGTGTTCGTGCTTTTTACAGTTTATATTTACTACTTCATACTCATTATTTGGTGCTTTTTAACGTTTCTCGCTGTTGTCTTGCTAGGCCTAGCCTAGCCCTGGCGGCCATTTTAAATTTTCGGGAATTCCGTTCGTCTTTTTGGTGTCTCAAACATTATACTGTGGACCTCCTGTGCGCTGTGTATCTGCATCAAATCTTGTTTAAAGAAACCGCATGATGTCTACTACTACTATCAATATCCATCGAATTAGTTTTATGTTTGCTCTACTCAAAACAACAGGACATGCTATTCAGAACCTAATGGAAGAAGGCAGGCCTAACAACGTCTTGGTGGACACTCAACACATCAAATGGATATTACTTCCCTTTCATAGTCAACTCATTATTAGAATGTGCCTATCAGAGGGAAATCGTCAGATTAAAGGAAAAGAACTATTTAGCCTAAACAAAATTCTTACAACACTAAGTACAAACGGCCTATAGTATCCTCGAATATTTTCTGCTTCTCTGAGATCAACCCTGTCCCCATCAACACTATTGAAAGCAATAATTGTAGTAGGTCTAGCAGTAGTTCAACTACCGAATACTCATTATCCACTGCATACCTATGTGGTACTTGTAAAGAATCTGTCACCTGGGAAGACAAATGGATAATGTGCGAAGAATGTGAAACCAGGTATCATATTGACTGCCAAAACATTAATGACGCATCTTATGTTAGACTAGAGGGTTCAAGTGTTGTCTGGACCTGTCTAGTGTGTGACGCACCAAATTTTAGTAGTACTCCTTATGAACTCTATGATGTGGTGTCTGAAAACAGATATAGTGTACTTAGAGACCTAAGCTTAGGCTCACAATCATCTCTCGATCTTGGACATCCTAAAGCAGCTTCCTCTCCAACTAAGCCCAAACCAAGATCAGCCATTGGGCCCCGTCCATTACGGATTTTTAATGTAAATTGTCAATCCTTAATTAACAAAAAACCTCCATTCTATAACCTAATCGACAGCACCAAACCTGATATTATTATTGCACCCGAAATCTGGTTTAACAACAGTATTGGCGATACCGAGTACTTCAGTTCCCAATACAGAGTTTACAGAAAAGACAGAAACTCCACTGGTTGTGGTGTACTTGTAGCTGTAAATAGTGACTTCATTAGTGTTAGAGAAGAAACCCTCGAAAAAACACTTCGGAGTCAGTTTGGGTTAAAATCAATATTACAGGATGCAAAATCTTATATGTTGCTGGCTACTATCGTGCTAATGTTAAAGACGAAATTGCTCTTGATGATCTAGATGACGCATTATCTAAGATTTCGAGTAGAGTCAATAACCTCATACTAGTTGGAGGTGATTTCAACTTACCAGGATGGGATTGGGCAACTAAGACACTTAAGCTAAGAACTCCTACCTGAACCTCCACAACAAGTTTGGGGAAATATTTGTGATAATGGCCTGGCATAATTTGTTGAAGAAACAACAAGACTAAATAATACCCTTGAGTTATTCCTAACTAACAGACCTAACCAAATTAATCGAACACAAGTTATACCTGGTATCAGTGACCATAATACTGTGTATACTGAACTGGAAATCAAGTCAACTCGAAAGAAGTAAATCCCCCGAAGAGTACCTCTATATAAAAAAGCAGGATGGGCTGGACTCCGTCAACATACTGAGAAACTTGCAGAAATAATCGCTAATGCTGAATCTAACTCAACTATTGACAAGCTATGGAACCTCTTCAGGGATGGCTTGATAGAAGGTATCTATTTATCCCCCATAAAACCAGAGATTCACATCCATGGATAGACATAGAACTTAAGAGAAAAATTAAGAGAAGAAATCGGACATTCAAAGCTAGTAAAAAACATGGGAAAGTTAAAGATGAAATAAAGTTTCAAAATCTTAAAAAGACTGGCAACGTGACCTGCGGAAAGCCTATTGGAAATACGTAGAAGATATTGTCACTCCACAAGCCTCTGACATAAATATTTACAGTGGTATGAAAAGATTTTGGACCTTCATTAAGCATAAGAAATTGGACTTCACTGGTGTTTCGCCAATTAGAGCTGAGGGGAAACTCTTGACAGATGCTAAACAAAGAGCAGATGCTTTTAACATCAATTTCAGTCAGCCTTTATTAGGGAAACCACCTTTAAAACTAATCAACCTCCATACCAATTTCCAAATATGCCTGACATAGATGTCTCAACCTCTGGCGTACTCACATTTCTTAAAAATCTGGACCCAAGCAAGGCTTCAGGCCCAGACAACATTAGCCCAAGAGTTCTCAAGGAATTGAGTGATGTCCTCGCCAATCCTCTTACCATAATATTTAGGAAGTCACTTCGTGAGGGCAGTGTACCACAGGACTGGAAAAAAGCAAACATCACTCCAATTTTTAAAAAAGGTCAAAAATACAATCCTGCACACTACCGTCCAATCAGTCTTACCTGCATAGCTTCTAAAATCATGGAGCATATTATCTACAGTAACATAAAGATCCTGTGAAACTCAACTTTAGGAATTCATACATGACATTGTTACCAACATGCAAGATGGGTACCAATCAGATGTATGCCTATTAGATTTTTCAAAAGCCTTTGACAAGGTCGGCCATCTTAGACTTGTTGAAAAGCTTCGTTGGTATGGAATCAATGGGCAAACTAACAATTGGATTAAAAACTTCCTCAGCGGCAGGACCCAATCAGTAGAGATTGACGGTGTTTCCTCCAGCAGCGTTCCGGTTACATCTGGTGTACCACAAGGCTCTGTCTTAGGACCATGTCTCTTCCCCTTCTTCATCAATGACACAGAAAACCTAACGTCCTGTACACGTTTATTTGCTGATGACACCTTAATTTACATGATGGTAAGCAGCGAAGGGGACGACAAGCTTATGCAGAAAGATCTAAATACTTTATCACTGTGGGAGAAAAACTGGTTGATGAAATTCCACCCAGAAAAATGCCAAGTTATTAGTATCACAAGAAAGAAAAATATCACATATTATCCATACACTCTCCATATACTCAACTTTCTCATGTAGATCATGCCAAGTACCTAGGAATAACAATTACCAAAGATCCCAAATGGAACAAGCACATAGACAGCACCACAATCAAAGCAAACAATACACTAAATTTCCTCAGACCTAACATAAATATTAATAACCAAAAAGTAAAAGAACAAGCTTACAAGTCACTTGTCCGACCAATTTTGGAATACAGAAGTGTTGTTTGGGATCCCCACACAGACGTTCTTAAAAGAAAAATAAAAAAGATGCAACGCCGTGCTTCTAGGTTTATCCTTAACAGATATGAACGTACAGCTAGTGTCAATGCCATGATCCACGAACTATCATGGAAAACTCTTGCTGAAAGTCGCCAACTTGCAAGATTAGCAATGTTCTATAAAATCCACAATAATCTTGTTGCAATTGATATGAGCAAATACTTAATCTCAAAAATGTATATATATGTAGCGGGTGACTACTAATATAAGTAAGCGAATAGTCACTTAACTTATCGTGGGGGCTCGGGGAAACTTAACTAACCTAGTGAGCTCACGTGAGACCGTCGGGAGCGTACGCTTGTATTGGTAGAACAATAATTACTGTGAGAAGTCCAATAAAAAATCGAGTTCAGAATATAAAGCGAAATCAGCGAAATCCAATAAAGTAGCAAAGTTCAAAGAAAAGTTCAGGAACAAAGCCCAACAGCAAATATAGTTGCAGATACCGTAGTCGAATCGAATAGTGCTGTATTTGCTTCCAGTACCTGTCCGGTTTCTGGTGTGGATTAGCACAGTATCGTGATCTTTTATTATAATTCGGCAAAAAAATGGTAAAGTACAGCCGTTTAGAAGAAATGCACATTTATCCTAAGTCTATCTGACCATAGGATTATACTTCTGTGTCCTGGAGTTAGTTCCGATCGGGATCTCGCAGTGTTGTCTTCTTCTTCCTTTTCTTCTTCTCTGTTGTGTCTCTCTCAATGCAGTGGCGTAGAAAAGTATTTTTCATTGGGGTGGGATGATTGGCGTGTTAGCCAGTGTCGTAACAGCCGCAGGGGTGGGGGGAACCTGCCCCTCCCCTAACGGTTTTTACCGGGCTGACCAAACCGTCGTACCGGACTGGGTAATGAGAGAAAAGAAAGAGGGGAGAGGGAGGGAAAGAGAAAGAAGAGAAAAAGAAAAGGAAAGAAAAAGAAAAAGAAAAATAAAGACAAAAATAAAAAGGAAGATATCATAATGACCAGACTCACAACACCCTGCAACCCCTTCTCCACTTCAACAACTGTCATAACGCCTTTGATCTATGCTGCCCGATGGCGCAACCACTGGGGGACAAGGGGAAAATACCTATCTTTGAAAAATCTTCCCCACCCCTTTATAAATGCCCTTTTCATCCCCTGAAAGTGCCTAAAAACCTCAAATTTCGCGCGCCTTTCTTGTTAACATGGGCAATTTCCTCTAAAAATTGCACATTAGGGAGTTTCGATCAATTCCAACGAAATTAGAATTAAAAACACCGGGGGACAAAGGGAAAAATATCCATC